CACTGCTGGAGCAGTACCTCTTGAAGACCTTGCATAAACTTGTTTTCTGCCATTTTTATCCGTCTTGATCCAGCGAACTTTTTCAGTTCATCTTGCCATCGAGTTGGAAGTCTTCCTAACGCTTGTCCAGCGATGGTCGATTCTTCTTGCAACTTTGGCTTCTTCACTTCGGCAATGAAATCGCAGACCTCTTGCTTCTGCCTACTCATTTGTCTGTCTTTTCTTGTTATTTCAAACGGATCTTTCCATGCTACGTTGGCTAGGCTACAGCTCGTGAATAGCTTTCTGGCTTTGGGCAAACGCCTGGCCACTCGCAGGTTAGTACTTAGAGCCCACTGTTCGAAAACTTTCCCCTTCAAGCAAAATGGTAATGTCCCGGGTATGAACATTTTTACTCGCGTAAGTGTTCTATTCCACTTGTATTCTTTACCTGTTGCGGAGATAAGCTGTCTCAACAGACGTAGTTTTGCACCTCTTCAACTTTCAGTCCGTTGATTGTAGCAGGTCTGGGATTACGTATTGGTTAAACGTTACCTGAACCCTCGAAGTTTCATTTTTAAAACAGTACTGCTTTGATATTCGCGTCGTTGAGATTTTGGATTCTTCTTTAGAGTTCTGGTGACTTTAAGAGGTTCAGAATTTCGTCCGTAATCAGCAGGTAGTCTACGTAGTGTCCATTTATGTTCAACCCCTAAGTTTCCCAGTGGAGTGTTTTGAAAGACTCTTTAAATCATTGGCAGCCATATCAAATTGCATTAAATATCATGTTCTTGAGACAGCAGGTGGCATGGTTATCGTCCTGTCCTCTTCGCACTAAAACTGAGTTACGCTGATTCATTCATCTGCTTTCTTACTCAAAATATTTGTCACGCTTAAGCAAATATTCACAAAGTTAAATCAACTCTGCAACAGAAACGTACACACACAGATGAAGCAGCCAAAACTGCCTTTGAGAAAAACAAACAGTGCACTGAGGTCACGTTTCAGTGATGAAGACCGCATGCGAGCATATGGTGCCTAAGAAAAAACTCACTGTCATTCACTGTTACTCGCTGAGTGGTACCGGTTGACCACGGCAAATCCTTATGATGAACAACAGCAGTGGGAGATGTAGACAAATTGGCTATGGAAATTCCGAAACCATCTAAATGGGACAAAAGGGGGGCCAGATGAGCGGAAATATAACAAAAAAATCTAAATGCTATATTCTGCATTATGGATTCGAATATAATGGATAAGTCTGAATCGTTGTTGAATACAACGCTCTACCACGACAATGGTGCATCGCCCGACCCACTCAACAGGTCTCCGTCTATATCTTCCAATTGTTTGTGTCAAGAAGCCATCGAAAACATTTAAATGTTGTTAAATTTTTGACTGAATACGGTCGCACATGATACTTTATTTATAAATCGACGATATCACAACTACTCTCCTTTTTTGCCGGCTGCCTGAGTGCCTACTTTGGCCTTCTTCGTGCCTCGGACCTTCTTCATTCTGTTCTTTCGTTCCTTTCGCTGCTTTCTGCCCATCTTTTTAATTTCGAGGAGCTTTTTCTAAAACAAGCAAAGAAACTGTAATGCTAATCAAAAATTTATTACGCTTAATTATTGATTTTGATAATAAGTTATGAATCTGAAGTTAGTGCTAAGTGCTAAGAGAATAGTTCAAACAAAAGGCAATCTTTTTTTATTGTAATCCTAATGCAGGACAGTGTCCAAAACGTTCCTACTCTTTAGGGTACCTCCAACCATGAAATCAGAAAATTAATAATTACTTGAGCTATTTTCCAGAGAGAATCACCAACAAGGTCAGATTCACTGTTGCGAACATGGTGGTGAAGATATGCTTTTAGCTTCAGCAAAATGAAGAAATCCAGCGGAGGTTTGGGCCATAAAAATGTCATAAAGCTTCAACTGCGATTTAAGAACTAATTACATCTGATGAGAATGAAGTGAACACCCGTCGTAACGTGCCATATATTACAGTCATGTTAAGCTATCAGTAATATATAGCTACGTTTAATCTTCAGTTAGTGTTATCTTTAAGGTATTAAGCGAGTAAAAGCTCTATGAAATGCCACTCGCCAAACAAACTATTTGTAGAACTTTAGGCAATTAGAGGAATTCTTACTATTACAAGAAGTTACTATTATGAACATTACAATAATTGTTTAAAAGTCCTTTTAAAGTACGATGGCTTAGCTTAAGAGTTTACGTCTAAAGTTTATCACTGAATTCAGCATTATGCGCACGAAGAATATAACATTATTCAGGTACTTGATTTCTATCACACTGAAAAAAATTACGAGGTAGTGGCAGACGAATTAGCTAAAAACGACCTGAACCATATATCTCAACAGACGGCTAAAAAGAACTGGATCAATATTCTGCTGAAACAGATCACCCTCACAAGGAATGTAAGGAATCCTTACACTTCGCTAAAACTTTAAATATCAGACCTAACTAAAAACGGTATGCTTAATGTTCGTAATAAAATATTTAAAGTTTTATAGGTAACAACTGAAATACAGTACTCATCATTACTATCAATTATTAGTACTAATTATCTAAGTATATAAACCCAGGTCGTCTTACCCTGGCTAAGCGATACTTCGGCTCAAATTTTTTCGCGTAATCCATCGTATCGTAGATATTGGCGAAGCCTCGTGATCTACCACCACCGAATTTGCACTGAAATCCGTAGCAAAAGACAACATCCGGCGTGGTTTTATACATTTTCGCCAGCGCTTCACCGATTTGCACCTTCGGCACGCTGGCCTTGTTCGGATGCAAAATATCAACGATCTGAAATTACCGCAAAAATTTTAAAGCATGAGAAATATCAATTTATTACTGCAGGAAAAAAGGTTTTCGAAAGCTAATACTTTAATCACATCAAAAGCGAGCCATGGCTTTGATGAGAATACAGAGGGCAAAGCAACTTTTAGAAATCATAGCAGCAGTACTGAAAGCCTATGAACAGCCAGCCAAAAACTACAGAGCAGCTCAATGGACAAATCATACTCTGTGCAAGAATGGCATCAAAAACGATACTCGTGAAACAAGAAAACTCATGAAACAAATTTAAGCAAGGCTGATATCTAAACGATTCGAAACTTCATTACATTCCAGGGGACATCCTTTACACCAAACTATGCGAAGGCAAGACAGTAATTTTTATCATGTTATAAATCCGTTCAAATGAAGTTCAGAATGACAGTATCTTCAAAAATGCTTATCCAGGGCAACCAATCAATACTGATCGTAGGGACGGAGAAAAACATTAAATCACGACGTCAGCTGCTTTTAACTGCTGTTTAACAATGTCGTCTAAGACTAACAGAGCTTAAAAGGCAGAGCAATTCAATTCAGATTCATGACATCTGGCCGCTATACCTATGGTAAGAGAGTGCTGATGGACAAAGAAATGGAGATTTACCCTGCCACTTTCCTCTTAAACCATGTCATCGATCTGAAAAAAGAAAGTACTGCAATAAAATGCACTAGAAAACAACTGCAGAGCTAAAGGTCTTTAAAAGAAATTTTTTGAAATGCCATCAGATTAATAAGCACTACATGGTGAAAACATTGATTTTGCCCCTCCACAACTATGTGCTTTAGTGTTCCGAATTAATGATGTGGCGCATGCGTGCGTCCTGTTGCTGCAGGGTCTGAAGTGCCGCGCCAATTAAACGCTCCCCTTGACTTATAAAGGCAAGGGAACAGTAAAATATTGCGGCAAAACCTGCTGTAAAGACTACTACCAGCATTATATAGCTGCAAAATCGAGTTACAGTAAGCAATTAAGTAATAATTATCCAAGATTTAGAACTGACTT